GTTTTATTGACTCATAGTTGCTTGTAGTAATTTCTTATGGTCCTTTGTACACTTGTGGTGTCCATTGTAACTTTTCCTTTTTCATTTTATTATTTTGGGTCCTCTTCTTTTTTTCTTGATGAGTATGGTGAAAGTTCTATTAATTTTGTTTATGTTTTCAAAGAACCAGCTTTTAGTTTCATTGATCTTTTCTGTTGTTTTCTTCGTCTCTATTTCTGCTCTAATCTTTGTGACATTTTTCCTTCTACTAACTTTGGATTTTGCTTGTTCTTTCTCTAGTTGCTTTAGATATAAGGTTAGGTTGTTTGAGATTTTTCTTATTCCCTCAAGTAAGTTTGTATCATTAAACTTCCCTCTTAGAATTGCTTTTGTTGTGTCCCATAGGTTTTGCATCATCATGTTTTCATTTTCATTTATCTTTGTATTTTTTGATTTCCTAATGATTTCTTCTGTGATCCAGGCTCAGCAATTTTAGAGAGACAGGTTTGTGCTACCAGTGTGTATGTATGCTTATGTTGCTAATATTTTCTCATAGAAACATTTTTCACTTCAATGTGTTAATGATGAAAAAGCCATCACAAAATGTTGTTTTGTGAATTTGTTTATCAAATAGCAAATCTCAGTGTTATATTCTAATTTGGTGAATATAGAATACATGAACCCAAATATTAAATATTCTTCCTAGTGTATATAGCTTGTGTTCATTAAAAATACATAGAAAATGGCATAATGAAATGATATCATTATCATTCCAAACAAGAATTTAAAACATTTTCTTTGCATATCACTGAATGTTCTCTTGGATTTATAGAGTACTATATCTTTGAATGTCATTAATTTTCAAGAAGAAAAAGAATGAGAGAATTCGTCTTCAGGTCCTTTATGAAACAAGGTATAATCAAATGATACAAGTTTACATATATGGAAATTATAGGAAGAATCTTAAAAAATGTATATAGCTGTACATGCAGATATAATATAATTTCTTAACTATAAGACCCTAAGTCCTAAAGTTGGTTTAATATCAATTATTGTAATCATTTTTAGTCAGTTAGATAACTCCATTAAAATTAATATTTTAACTGCTGATTAGATATTTTATCATTTCTGTTACAGACAAGTGACAACATATAACACTGAAGAAAACTGGCAGTCCAATTAGTATGAAGAAAGTGGGCAGTTTGGAAGGAAAAGAATTTGCCTAAACCTCAAGTGGAAAGAGCATATGTTAGTTGGGTAGATTTAGTTGGGTAGATTTAAAGGAAATTGTCTAAGTTCCTTCTTGTAAATAACAGACACATGGCATAAGTTACTCAACAATTTGGAAGCTAACTCAAACTCCTCGATTCTTCACTCTCAGAATCTACCATCAGTCTTTGTGGCTCAGTCCTCATCAGACATGTGTGGCTTTTGATAGATTTAGACTTTCCAGTACCTGAAATACAGGTAAAGACTTTAGAGCTTCACTGAAGAATGACTGCATGCATATGTGCACATGGCTAATTATGAATCTGCTAATTACTGTTTTTTCTGTCTTATCATATAATGTATGTGACTTTATTAACATGAAAAACCTTCAATAAATAATAAAGCTGGAGACAGTTATTTTAAAAAATTTCTGTAATCAAGCAAAGTATATTAGTATGTGACATTGGAATTACCAGTAAGTATTACAGTTTTGGTTACTAGAGTCATAACAAACAAAGAAGCAAAATGCATTGAAAACTAAAATTCCTAAGTTTGATATGACTAGCAGTAATATCTTCCAGTTTTCTATGTGCGAAAGTAGATAAAAATTATTTGAAATATACTTTAAAGACAATTCTACATCTATTTACAAATAAAGTGACATATATATACAAATAAAGTGATAAACAAACATGGAAGCAGGAAAATAAATAATGAGTTAATATTAAATGAGGCTGTCCTTGAATTTTAAGTACCCAATAATAAACATCTATACAGTCTTTGCCTACCTTTTCCATTAGCTGTCATGACAGATATTTAAAATATATATCTTATCCCTTTTTGATAATGGCTGTGTTGAGTAGAGTAGGGGGCAAGCTGTGAAAACATAGAACTTAGAGGATCTGACCTCACATAGCCTCTGTAGAATGGTAACCTTCTTGAAAAAGAATACTTTCTCCAATACTGACTGGCTTTTTTTCACTGTATTATAACTCCTAAAGATTCACATACTAGAGACTTTGGGGGGATTAATAAAGATTCTTTGGTTTGATTCCTGGGTTGGGAAGAGCCACTGGAGAAGGGATAGGCTACCCACTTCAATATTCTTGGACTTTCCTGGTGGCTCAGCTGATAAAGAATCCACCTGCAATGCAGGAGACCTGGGTTCAGTCCCTGGGTTGGGAAGATCCCCTGGAGAAGGGAAAGGCTACCCACTCCAGTATTCTGGCCTGGAGAATTCTATGGGCTGTAAAGTCCATGGGGTCACAAAGAGTCGGACATGACTGAGCGACTTTCACTTTAAAAAAAATACTGTAAACATGTTTGGATGCTTAGAAATTCACATGAACAGATCCAACTAAATTGTTCAAAAAAACTAAAATTAATTACACTCCGAGATCTGAAGTTTCATTCCTTTTACACTACACGTATAGAAGAAAGACGGAGATCCCAGGCCTTAATTGAGAAAGGGATGTGGAAAAGGAGTTGGGCCTGCAGGGGTAAGGGAGAAGAAACTTCCTTTTACTATGCATCAGGACCCTTATAGAACTGAGGCAGAGCCTGATACTACTGATGTTCTATTGTGCTATGATATGCTTTAGCTCGGGCAGATTACCCTGCAGACCTATTGATCTTTTATGTGGTTTAATATATAACTATCTTACAGTCTTTGGAGCACTATCCATTTGAGATAGGAACAACCTGTATTAGAACATAAACAAATGTAGATAAGTATAAACGAATTTTCATATCCAACGAACCAAAGTACTTTGTAATTTACTGATAACACTTGAGTAACTTTCATTTTGTAGCATTTGAAAGGACCCTGCTTATCAGACACTTCTGTCTATAGCACATATTAGATGTTTTTAGACATGCTGGAAATATTTATGCAAAGTCAATTAGGTAAAGACTGGCTTTGGTAAATGACAACGATAAATGATTAATTCCTTTTTAAGTTTAAACCTTTGGTGCCATATTTTCATAGTAATAACTTCTAAAGGTTCAACACAACTGTGCAGGTACTTTGTAACAATTGTCACATGCTTATGAGCATCATAAAACACTGAATCTCATAAGAATCTAAAACTTCCTGATGATAGTTTTTATTAAGAATTTGGTAAATTATCTTAATAGAAGTTTTTCAAATGTGACAACAGTTTGAAAAACTTATGATTTTAAAAGAATATAAAATTACTTAACATTTACAATTAAGTACTCTTATTTCCAAAACATATTGATGGCACATACTTAGTGCATACTTTTAAATTTTTCCTTTCAAAGATAAATTTTACTTTGTATTTAATCCTTAAGTACTAAGCAATTTAAAAAATGAAGTGTTACTATATAATTTAGACTTTAATGTAACTATACATTAAATAAAATAATTTTTTACATTAAATAGCTTAAGAAAGGCTTTTATAAAGATAAAAAGAATATCAAGTTTTAGTTACAAATTTAAATAAATATGTAATTTAAAACATGGACAGGAAAAAGCCAATGTAAAAAAATACTGTCATATGTAGTGAATTATTAGACATAATTTTAAAGATTTAATTTATACAAATATTGTCTCAGTAAGAAAAAAAGCTTTGCCGAACATTATAGACCCAGGTTCATATTGAACTCAAAGTATTAGGAAGATTAAGTGATTCTCTGAACATCAGTGAGAAGTGTGTGGAAGATGGAGGTCACCCTTTGAAAGAAAATCTCTGTGACCTGTGTAAATAGAAGCCCCACAAACACTTCCAACAAGTGCAGGTCACAATAGGGTCATGGCTCCAGGCCCTCTGGACCACTGTTCGCCCAGAGGAGTGTGCTCACCGCGTTAATCTCTCGTCCTTCAGTTCCAAGTCCGCCACAGTGATGAGCTGATCCAGCTTGAATTTAGTGTCAATAATTTCTGCATCCCGAGGAGAATATGTCCCACCTTCTTTCTGCTTCTGTCGAATTCTAAAAGTAAGTGTAGTAAAGTTCAGGGAGGAAGTAGTATAGAAAGCATGTATTTGTATTTAGATTTCTTTTTAAGACATTAGTCAAATAATTTCTTTATTGGGATCACTTCTGTGAACACATTGCAAATTTATAGCTACTCAAATTCTTCTCCCTGTTTTAATTCCACAGACTGTATTCTATAATTTTTTAACATGCTATTTTTAATGAGAATTAGTTCTTCAAGGCCTGAGTCACTGACACATTTAAAGTATAGAGTGAACGAGACGGATGTTGTGAGCTTGTGTCTCCTCCCTCAAGCTGTCCTGTAGATTTATCATAAAAAGGAAATATGCCAATGTGGACACAGCTCATTGCTATCAGCACCAGTTCAAATAGACAACCTTCTACTGTTTTTCCATGCATAAAACACTTATGACAAGATACGTAAGTGTTTTATACATACTTGGCAATATTTTTATATCTAAATATAATTATATATTCTTTATATAATCTAAGACTATAATATAGAACCAGAAAACTCAGGTTCAAAAATAGAAGTCACATGAATCTGCAAATCCAATTGATGTTAAACATAAAGTAATATTTAGCTTTTCTATCTTTTGTACTGCAAATATTTAATACTTATTATGATTTATGTGTTGAGGATGATGCAGAAAGTATAACATATGGTCCTTATCCTCAAGGATATAATTTAGTTGAGAAGGACTGGAATGTAGAAAAGCATACAGAGGAAAAATATTCAAATTACAACTTGTAAAACAGTAATTGATCAGTTATGAAACGATATGTGATTACAACTATTGGCACTTGGAAGACATAAAAAGTAGAGTTTGACTTGGGTGTCGCAGAAGGCGGAGGAAGCACACTTATAGTTGACTGAGCCCAAGCAGCAGTGTGTGAAAGCCTAGGGGACCTTCAGGTGAGGCTGAACTCTGTTGGCTGAAAAGCCACATGTAGGAAAGTTGTAGGGAATAAGAGGGGGCCGTTTTCTGCCCAGTATAGGAGCTCATCCTATAAAGAAATGATTTGGGAGCAGAAGAACACTGCAAATACAGTGATTGCATGTCCCTTGGGGAAAAGGACCATAGCTGGCACAAGATAACTCTCACCGTTCTGGCTGAATCTGAGAACACTATCTAGTGTAAGAAAAATATCTTTCAAGAGCCCTTCAGATTTTCTATCAAAATGATAATTTAAAAGGTTCAAGATGAACTAGAGGATGCTTGGCAAACACAATACAGGACAACATTCTTCAGATAAAACAGCCTACTGAGCTACTTAGGAAATTGGTATAATGGTTATTTTTACAAATGGAAGGTCCCTTTAACTTGGCAATCTATCTTATGAAACTGGATTTTAGAATCACAACTACGATTTTCCCTGTGCTGTGTGCGGCGTTTAGTAGCTCAGTCGTGTCCGACTCTTTGCGACCTCATGGACTGTAGCCCACCAGGCTCCTCTGTCCATGGGGATTCTCCAGACAAGAATACTGGAGTGGGTTGCCATGACCTCCTCCAGGGGATCTTCCCAACCCAAAGATCAAACCTGATTAAAATATTTCTAATTAAACCTAACGGAGTTATAAATACTCAAAGATGTAGAAAGCCTGGCACCTTCCCCTTTTGTGTAAACCTCTCTCCATCCTTCTTTGTCCCGCTTTGAGATATTGGAGCTAGACTCCTTGGCCAGCTGGTGGGATGTTGAGCCATTTAATAGAAGACACGAGTCATCCTGCAAGGCAGTAGGGACAGGAAGATACTTCCCTTGTGTGTTCTAGGACTGCATTATCATAATTCATTGTGGAAGGCCAGTAGTCCACCTAAATGAGTTCTAACTGCTTCTAAAGTTCATGCTGTCTCCATCCCATCAGTGAGTGATGCTAAGTAGCTTCAGCCCATCCACAATTGGGCAGCATGGAATGCTTTCACTGTCTAATTCCAGGCTGTGTACCCTCCAGTAATGATGGGCATTTTCTACAGACCGGCTCCAGCTGCTTTCGCTGTAATAGGATACATGTGCCTGTGGTGGCCATTCCATGACAAACTTGGGAGCAAGACAGCTTCTTCAGTTAGTTCACGTATTGTCCACTTTCCCTTAGACTAGAGCGAGGAGCTTTGTTGCACTTGCTACTTTTGAATCCCTCAGTGTTCTCCTTTACGCCTTTAATAGTTGACTGTATTTGTTCAGTTCAGTCGCTCAGTCGTGTCCGACTCTTTGCGACCCCGTGAATCTCAGCACACCAGGCCTCCCTGTCCATCACCAGCTCCCGGAGTTTACTCAAACTCATGCCCATTGAGTCAGTGATGCCATCCAGCCATCTCGTCCTCTGTCGTCCCCTTCTCCTCCTGCCTCCAGTCCCTCCCAGCATCAGGGTCTTTTCCAACAAGTCAACTCTTCACATCAGGTGGCCAAAGTACTGGAGTTTCAGCTTCAGCATCAGTCCTTCCAATGAACACCCAGGACTGATCTCCTTTAGGATGGACTGGTTGGATCTCCTTGCAGTCCAAGGGACTCTCAAGAGTCTTCTCCAACACCACAG